GGTTACCTTCTGTCCGTTAGCCATCCAAAGGTGATATTGCCGATAATGTCAATCACCCCCAGTATGGACATCAGAAAAGCAGCTTGCTGATGACTCACTCCAACACTCAAAAAAAGCATAAGGCACCAAGTACACAAAGAGAGGACTGCAGCCGTAAGCCATAAACAGAACAGAGATGGCTAACACAACAAAGTCTGACATCAGTAAAAAACTGTATTCCTGCTGCAAAGAGCAACAAAGGCAGGTCTGTACCCATTCTTTGGTCAAAGGTGAACAGGGAGACGCCCATTGAAAGTCTTGTTTCTGAGATCTACAGACATGATTTTGCTCTGGAGTTGTGTGGTCCTCTTTAAGAGTAATTGGTCGCATCAAGGCTCCGCAAACACAGAGATTCAAAACGAAACCCCCAAGAATGAGTAATGCTCCCCGCCAGGAAAACTGTTCAATAAGGAGCTGAACCACAGGGGCCAGGATGAAGGTGCCAATGCCACTTCCTGACATGGCAATCCCATAAGCAAGAACTTTCCGTCTGCTGAAATATTTGCCAACCATGGCAATAGCTGGAGAGTAACAAAGTGCCAATCCAAGACCTGTGAATAAAGAGAACTCCATGAGTACACCATGGACAGCCAACGGGGGGACGGGGAATCTTAGAATAACATTATTTGGATTAAAGGGAATCTGACCTTCTGTTAACCGCTTTCAAGCTGTTTTCTACACCAAACTGAAAGAAGTCTCCCCGCACTAGTAATCCAAAAATTGGAAAATATAGCATATGTGACTTTCTTCATAGAAAGAAAAACCTTAAGGAAATATGAAGTCTTAAACAAAATGAAATAAAGAATTTAAAAATTATATAAACTAAATTTGAATTAACCAGAAAATCTGGATAATGCTGACCAAAGAAACTTCTTTTCTTTCTTTTTTTTTTTTTTCTATCTTAAATTGTCCAGAAATTGCCTCAACTCTTCACTGCCTGTGAAGACACAACCCTGATAATCCAGACCACCCTGGAATTTGCTTGAAACAGCATATATGATTCCATGAAAGTCCTAGAGTAATTTCACTTAGTTGGGAAACAGCATGCCAATTTTATACATGAAAATAGCAACCTGAATATATCTCCTAAAGTCAGCAAAAAATGGTAACAGTCCGGAAAGACTTTTAAAGATATTGAGTTTCTATTCCAGATCTCATCTGTCAGTTTGTTGTACTGTGGTGGCTTGCATGTTGCTGTGATACTGGAAGCTATGCCACCAGTATTTCAAATACCAGCAGGGTCACCCATGGTGAAGAGGTTTCAGCGAAGCGTCCAGACTAACAAAGACTAGGAAGAAGGACCTGGTGATCCACTTAAAAAAGTGATCAGCGAAAGCCTTATGAATAGCAGCAGAACGTTGTTTGATACAATGCCAGAAGATGAACCCCTCAGGCAGGAAGGCACTCAAAATATGACTGGGGAAGAGCTGCCTTCTCAAAATACAGTCAACTTAGTGATGTGGCTGCAGTAAAGCTTTTGAGACCTCCATTTGCTGATGTGACATGACTCAAAATGAGAAGAAACAGCTGCAAATATCCATTAATAATCAGAATGTAGAATGTATGAAGTATGAATCTAGGAAAATTGGAATTCATAAAAAATGAAATAGAATGCATAAAGATCAGTATTCTAGGCATTAGTGAGCTGAAATGGACTGGTACTGGCC